AGCTCTATTCCAGGGAGAAGAAATTGTGTCTCCGTCCCCGTTTCGTCTCGCTCAAGCGTCTTCCCTTTCTCGTCTGAATCGGGGCTGTTCCAGGGAGAAGAAATCGTGTCTGCGTCCCCATCCCCATCTTTGTCTTGCTCAAGCGTCTTCCCCCTCTCGCTCAAGCGTCCTCCGCCGTCCCTCTCCTCCACCATCCGACGTATTCAAGTTAGTGCACCGTCTCCGGCGTCTTCGTCCGGCGTCTCCCTATCCGATTGTTGTCCCTCATCCAGGTAAGTTTATCTGTGGCTTTTGTCCATCTCTTCCTCTATACTTACACATATACATATATGTATATATATATATATAATAAGATTTTGAGAATGCCAAATATGTAATGAAATATAATTTCTGTTAATCTGCTATGGAAATTGTTAATTTATAGTTTTAAGCTCTACAATTTTAATCTATTAATTAACATATTTCTATCAAAATTAACAGTTTTAATATGTGTTCAAAATTTCTGTCCAAAATCTGCTAATTAACAGATTATAACAATTTACAGTTTGGACAGTCCAAATCTGTTAAATTGTTTGGGAATCTGTATATTGTTTGGGAATGCTAATCTGTTAATTAACAGTCCAAAATCTGTTAACTAACAGTCCAAAATCTGTATATTGTTAATTAACAGATAATATGACAGTCCAAATCTGTTAAATTGTTATAAATTGTTAATCTAATTTTGGACAGATTTTGGGTTAATCTGGTAACTTGCATTGTTAAAAATTGTTATAATCTGTTAATCTGGTAATTGTTAGAATTTGAAGCTCTTACAGATTAGAAATTGTTACAATTTGAAGCTCTGTTAATTTTTGAAAGAGTAATATGTTATAGTCTGTTGAAAGGGTAATATGTTAACAGAATCAATGTTTCAAATCAGTCCAAAATCTATCGAAATATGTGAAGAAATTCTGTTCATAATATGTGCTAACAAGCTGTCCAAATCTGTGAAGCACCTGTGTTCAAATACAGAAATACATAAATAGAATCTGCCATGAAAATTTGTCCAAATCTGTCAAGAATGTGAGAACAAATTTTATTCACAATCTGTCAACAATATCTCTTCAAAATCTGTCCAAATCTGTCAATAATCTATGTTCAAGTAGACAAACATAATCTATGTTCAAAATCAACCCAAAATCAGTCCAAAATCTGTCCAAAATCTGTCCAAAATCAGCCCAAAATCTATCCAAAATCAGTCCAAATCTGTTCATAATATGTGTTCAAACAGACAAACAAATAACTTTCAAGCTTCCAATCAGATAACAAACAATCCACATGATTACATATTCATACTTGTCAATTCATAATTGTAATATATCATAAATCTTCATACATATCATCTTCATAATTAATACAACACCAATTACATGTTCTAACTTGTATAAAAATTATTACATCTTCATAATTAATATAACACCAATTTCAAGCAAGATGAAGATCCCATTAATACAACACGAATTTCTATTTATGTCTCTTTGCAATTTTTGCATCTGCGCATTCTGAAATTGATGTTGTTCGCTTTGAAATCGAAGATGTTCGCCCATACTTTGAAGTTGTTCGGTGACAGTCGGTGTATTCTCCATTCGCACTTGTCCTTCCTCCCTACGTTGTGAATTTGTAGGCAAGCACCATGCAATAAACCCACTGCAATCAGGACAACAATAAAATAGCTTATTCTTGTTTCGTTCCGTCTCCGAAATTAGAATGATTGCTTTTTTCCGACATTGAGGACAATTTCTGTTGCAATACATCAATTGATCTGAGGTACTGCCGTTAACACTTGAAGTTGACATCTGCAAAAATATGAAGCGAATTCTGAAGTTGACATTATCACCTATAAATGTAACATCGATTGCCATATATACTTAATTCTATAATCTAACTCATATATTGCTCATTCTTATTAGTTATGTACAGAAATGCAATACTTAGATGAAAGGGCCAAAGGGTTAGTGTTATTCCCACAACAAAATGAGGTTTGGATGGTTGAGCAATATTGGTGTCAAGTTTTACCTACCTAAATGGTAATTAAATTAAATATTAAAAAAAAATCAGTTAACCCAAAAAGTCAAATTCCTATGTGCTGGCATTTGGTACTAGGTTAGGATTATAGTTGGATAATGATTCACATGGATGGATCATGCCTATGGCTTGACTAATTTTTAGGGTAGTTATGGTTATGGGTTCCAATTATGATTCATTCTTTTATATCTGTTCATCTTTTTCTTTTTTAATAAAAATTAATTCATAGTGTAGCCTAGTTTAAGGAAAGAGAATGTAGGATGGATTACAAAGGCTAGAGAATCATATTCCATATCAATGCAGGTACTTATTGTGGCTGTGCTCTGAAATTATTCATCAAATTCTGAAGGTAGTGTTCTAAATTTACTAATTAGTTAGTAAAGTAAAGATTTCAATCAACTTGGTAAATGCATCGGATTTCGTTGGTTTGCATCCAGCAACGGGAATGTCTTGATTGTAGATGAGTCTTTAGGCATTTACTTCTGATAAATGTTGTGAGCAATGATTCTTCAGGAAATTTTCTATGCAAATTGACAGAATAGTGACCCTAAGTTCTGTCAAATTCATCAACTTTAATTGAAAAAAAAATATATAAATCACAACACATTTCAATTGAAGTCACTTTGTTTGGAGGAAATAGAACAGTCTAAAGTATGTTTGTAATGGGTTACCTCAGTTTTGGATTGATGATGTATTTGATATACTTATGCAAAAATAGTCATTTAAAATCATGCAAAGAATTCTTCTTTTACCAGCAAAGATGCTACTAGAATAACAAACTTTAATATTTTCATAAAATCCAACCACAAATCTATTGATTTGAAATGCATATCTATCCAGGTGGAGCCTAAGGCCATCATGCCAAATTGATCTTTTAAATATATTGAAATAATTTGTAGTTAGTGCTGCTGTTTTTTGTAAATGATAAATCCAAATCAAACTTCCTATTGAAAGAAATAGAATCAAATAGAAAATGGGCATTTATAACAGATTTATCTTATTTTGCATTCTGCAACATTTGAAAGGATAATACCTGATTGCAAGATCAATATTTAAAACCTTCACCATATGAAACATTGAACCTTAAATCATTCATACAATAGAAAAGGCTAAACCTTTTGCAGCACAAATCATGCCCAGATTTTCCTGTGGTTGCACAGCATCTTCTAGCCACTATTTTTCCAAATTTAGCTCTACTTACATCTCTCATAAATCTTATACATATATATCTATCATGAATTGGAGTTGTCCCCCAACACAGCTTCATCAAGTGTCATTCTTAATTTTCACACTACTACTATCGCAAATCATGCCCTCTACAACCCCAATGTATGATTGAAGCCAACACTACGAAAATTGGTCACACTATCAAAACTTTTGAGAAATGATTCAAATCACAATGTTGTTATATATGACAAAATTACATTACAAGATTTCAAAACTTGATCTGAAGTAGTTGGGACAATGGATGAATAAAGGTTGATTGAGATGATTAAATCTAAAGCTATTAGAGTTCTGGTAAGGTAAAACATAAAAAGAGATCCATAGTGTTTCTGGACAAATATGTTTCAAAGATTAATTTAAAGAATAATATACTATGTTTCAATAAATATCTAATTGTAAATAATTTTTTTTAGAATTAGACAAATACTTAATTTTTTTACAATTTTTTTTATTCTATTTCAATAGATATCTAATTGTAGACAAATACTTTTTGATCAATTATGACAATGCCTTGACTGCCAAATTGTTCCCAAATCTATGGTTGAAATAATTTCAAAAATTTTATATCAATTTGTGGTTCAAAAATAATATGGTTACAATCTGTCTTCAACAAATCAGGGCATATATATATACATATATGAAATCAAAGTGAAATCAAAGTTAAAGTCACAATCTGTCTTCAACAAATCAGGGCATATATATATATATAGATGAAATCAAAGTGAAATCAAAGTGAAAGTCACAATCTGTCTTCAACAAATCAGGGCATATATATATATATATAGAGAGAGAGAGAGAGAGAGAACTGACTTGTGCACACCACAGATTTGTCGAGAAAACACAGAGAGTCGAGAGAAGCGAGTCCGGTGGGAAGACGGATGGGTCGCCGGGTTGTAGAAGCTGCGCTCGTCGGGTCGCCGGGGTTGTAGAAGCTGCGTTCAACCTTGATCATCGCCGGGGGTGGAGAGCAACGCTCGTCCAGTCAGGTCGCTGGTGTTGCAGAGCTACGCTCGTCGAGGAGGTCGCCTAGGAGAGGCACAACAGAGAAGAGAAGGAAGAATAGAGAGAGAGTCTTCAAATGTATTGTGCTGTGAAAATAAATTTGAAATTTGAAATGAATAACAAAGAGGGAGGAATGGGCGAGTTTGCATCCGTTTTCCACGTAAGCAGCCACGTCATTAGTGCTAATTTAGTGATGAATGTTTAGAGGTCGGGAGCATTTTTCAAATCAAGCCCCCCTCCCCCCCCTCTCTCTCTCTCTCTCTCTCTCTTTGTCTACAATGTTGGACTACCTACCTAACAAGGTACTGATTGAAATCCTCTCAAGACCCCTAGTGATCTCTCTCCTCCGATTCATGTGGGTATGCAAATCATGGCGCTCTCTCATCTCCACTCCCTCTTTCATCACTTCCCACCTCAATCACTCCACCACCACCTTCAACTTGATTCTTCTTCGCCACTACTCTCACCACAAAGAGCGTTTCTCACTCCACTTCAACAACCAAACTTTCCCCTAATTCCTAGACCTCAAATGCCCATCTTCGACTCGCTTCAAATACTACTTCAGAATTGTTGGGTCCTGTAATGGGTTGCTCTGTCTCACCGACGATTGCTTCGGTTACACTAATACCATCATTCTCTGGAACCCTTCGATTCACCGCTCTCTCACCCTTCATGTGCCCCGTGTTACCTCTGAATCAACTTCCCTTTTTATGTGTGTTCATGGGTTTGGCCTTGATTTGATTAAAAATGACTTCAAGGTTGTCAGGATTTCGTATTTGGGATCAGAAAATGGGTTTAAGGTTCCTCCTCAAGTCAAAATTTATGCCCTCGACGATCGTTCTTGGAGGCATTTTGATGGTGTTGTGCTGCATTTTGGCATGGTTAATTACTTTTTGTCACAAGCTTATTTGAATGGAAAGGTTCATTGGGTTTCTTACAAGCTTATTGACCCGGTTACTCGTGGTTGTTTTGTTCTATTTTTTGATTTGGGTAATGAAGTCTTTGGGGAGATTGAGTTGCCACTGAGTCTGGTTCATCAGTTTCCTAGGAACATGTTGACTGCTATAGTGGGTGAATTGCTTTCGGTGCTACAGTATGATTCGCCGATATACAGTAAGAGTTGTAAGGTGTTGGTTATGAAAGAATATGGGGTGGTGGGGTCTTGGAGTAAGCAATATACAATTGATCTTGATGGAAGATTGGTGTTGACGCTTGGCTTGAGAAAGAACGGTGAAATGCTGTTGGGAATGGGTAGAGAGGTGGTCTTATATGACTCTGAGAGCCAAGAAATCACAAACCTTGGAGTTCGTGGCAGCAAAGATGCATTTTAGGTGGATAATTACATGGAGAGCCTAGTTTTACTAGAGGAAGGAACTCAAGTTGTGGATGGCCGCTCGACAAATTCTTTTGATACAGTTAATAGTAAGGGAGGACCAGCTTTGCCAGAGGAAGATGATGGACCTGAGGAGACTCTAGTTGAACAACGTGCATACTTCATGCAAACAGTTATGCTTGATACGTTTGAAGCTTGTCTTTAGGTTTGCTGAATACCTTCTTCTAGTTAAATACATGCTATTAATGTTCCTCAGGACCTCTTTTGGATGCTAATATCTTGATTTTGGTGTGGCTTGTTGCCCTTGTTTTAGTTCATTACTTTATTATGGTATTTGGTTCTTTTGATGGAATATAATTTGCAAATTTCTAAATAGATGGTGTTATTGCATTGTTTGGTTGAACTGTGCTAGTGGTAGTTGGTTTCAAGTGGAGTAATTAGCATTTCTCTAGGCAATGGGCCGCAAAGGTTGTGTTCTGTGTTTTCGGTGACTAATTTATTTGAACCAAATGAACATCCAATGATTACTTGATTTAATGAATCCTTTTTCACGACAATGTGCCAGTTGTTGGGGAAGTTTAATTTCTTAGAATTTTGCTAAGAATGTGGTATGAATACTGAATGATAATCATTATGGATGACATATCATACTAGATGAACCAGTGATGCTTAATCTCAACTATAGTTCATGAATTTACCTTTTCTGTATGCATGGTATGAATACTGAATGATAATCATTTCGGTAACGGATGACATATCATACTAGATGAACCAATGGTGCTTGGTCTCAACTATAGTTCATGAATTTACCTTTTCTGTATGCAACTTCTCATAAAGTTTGTGTGTTGTGTTTATTAACAGTTAAGATATCAAGATCATTTTGGGTAATTTTTAACATTGATTTGTGAAGAATTATCTAGTTAGAAATGTTAAATGTAAGAATTTTTGGGAAACTTTTATTTAGTGAAAGTGACAGACAGAGCATCCACACTGCCTTCTCTCCTTTAGTGCACAACTTATTTTGTTTTTCTTAGTCTTTGTGTCAACATAACGTGAACCGAAAGCTTAAAAAACAGGGGGAAAAAAAAAAGAGGGGGAAAAAAAAGGTAGGTCAGTGTGACAATTATTGTTTGTAGACGATGAGTACTAATAATGCTATATTGGACTTAACAGAGTGAGGTGGGGGTGTGAACATGGTAGGAGGGAAAATTTGAGACCCAATTGTTGAATGGGAAACTGCTCAAGTACACCCAATTGTTGTTGATTCCAAAACCACTGAATTAAGTTAAGATTTCAAAACCAAAATAATAATAGTAAGTATAAAGATAGTAATGCAGCAATATGAATGTGATTATATATTAGCTCAGACTTACCTGGGAACATTTTCAACTCTTTATTTGCACACTTTTTACAAATACATTGGGGTGCAGGTCTTTTCTTTGTAGAAAAACACCACAAAAAGTGCACCCAACAAAGATTCTCACCTCTTTTTGTAATTATTTGCTCCACCTCTCACTGATTTGTAGTTTCTTCATTTTTTTAAAGGTAAATTACACTTACACCCCCTGAGGTTTGGGTTTAATACATATCACCCCCTGATGTTTGGAAAATTACACTAACCTCCCTTGTCATTGTAATTATTTAGATGGGATGAAGACATTGAATTCATGCACTCTCTCTTTTTTTACTTTACTTTACTTTCTTTTTTTTTCTTTTTTTTCCCCTTTCCTTTACTTTTTTTTAAATGTAATTTCCTCTATTTTTCTACAAGGAGTTGTTACCTTTTATATAAGCAGGGGGGTTTGTGAAATGAGACTATTAACCATAGGGGTGGGAATGTAATTTCCAAAATGTCAGGGGGTAGGTAGTAATTGGACCAAACCTCAAGGGGTGTCAATGTAATTTACCCTTTATTTATTTATTTATTTATTAGGATCTCATTCCCTTGTACAATTAATGAGTTAAACTGTAGCTAAACTTGCAGTTTCTCATACTCTAACCTTGCTACCTTATTCTAATTAGATATATGATGGTAGGGTGGATTTATGATATATCAACTAAGGACTTTGGGCTAATAGTTATGTAGCACCACTTTGTAGTGTGAGATTGCGGGTTTAAATCCTATGGAGAAAAGTTTGATATCCTTTGATTATTTATTTTTCATTGTGATGGTTGTATTGAGTGATTGTTGGGTTTGGTGAATTCTTTCTAGTGATTGTCGGGTTGGGTTAAGTGGTTTCTTGCTGTGATTGTTGAGTTTGTAGATATGCTTTATTAGACTATAATTGTCTAATTTGATGTAATTATTCTCATATTTGTACAGATACAGGGTCATTGCTGTGACCCCCCCTGCTATGCCTAATACGGCATAGTTTCACCCTCATTTTTTTTTCTTCATGTTCTCACTATGTTTTTTGGCATGATAAATTACACTTTGTCCTAAACCCTAAACCCTAAAATAAAAAAAAATAAATTTTAAGAATTAAAGTAAAAAAGTGACCAAATATAGGGGTAAAGTGTAATTTATCATGCTAAAAAAACATAGTGAGAACATAAGAGGGTGAAACTGTGTCATTTTAGGCACAACAGAGAGCACAGCAGGAGGGTCACAGCAGTGACCCCATATTCTATTTTTACTTAATTTCTTATTGATTGGAAGAAGAAAAAAATTAAGACATCACGAATGCACATGACATCAAACAAGTATATCCGTGGCAATAGTTTCACAAGATGATATATATATATACATATCAAGAATCGTGTAACAACCTAATATTATAGCCTTATATGGCAATTTTTCTAATGTAAATTGGAATCATATGACTTATCATCTCCAAAAAACAAAGTGAAAACACAAAATAAAAAATATAATAATAATAAGTAAATACAAACCGTACAAAATTAATCAATTTGCAAAAATTTGCTTGAAGAAGTCTCCTTTCTTTAACTTGGTCCAGATAGAGCTAATGGAGACAATAGAGTACAACCAGCATCAGTGGCATCCTCTTGGTGATCAGCATCTGGAATTGTTCTTCATATTACAGGATTTATGAAGTTATAATCCAAGTTGTTTTCAACATCAAAAGAACCCTTCAAGACCTTAACCACCATTGGCGTGGAAGGCCTCTTGGAAAAATCACTTTGTAGACACCACACAGCAACCCTCATCATCTCCACAACTTCTGTACTATGTAACTGCATTTCATCATTGCCTTTATCAACAATATCAGTCATTTCTCCTCTGCTTTCCTTTTAAATAGACTTAGTAAATGCATATCTTTCTCAGGTTGAGATCCATCTAAATTTTTGCACACACACAACATTTCCAAGACCATAACACCAAAGCCATAGACATCTACTTTTTCAGTGATAATTGAGTTCAACCATTCGGGAGCCAAATAGCCAGGTGTTTCCTTCATCATTGTTGCAACTTGGCTTTGGTCTCTATTAATTAGTTTTTATAATCCAAAATTAGAAATTTTCGTATTGAAATATTTGTCTAAGAGGATGTTTTGGGGTTTGATATCCAAGTGAAATATTTTTTGCCTATATTTCTCATGGAGATAGGTTAGTCCCTTGGCTATATCCATGATGATCTTCCTTCTGGATTGCCACCCAAGAGTGAGCTCTTGGTGCCTTTGAAAGATCTATGTATCCAACGATTTATTGGACATGTACTCATACACTAGAAACCAATATGATTTTTCAACACAAAATCCAAGTTATCTCACCAAATTGAAATGGTGAATGTTGCCTATTGTCTCAATTTCATCTAAGAATGACTTCTTAACTTGACCAAAACCATTGAGATGCTTCATTGCTACTTTGGCGCCATTGCTTAATATCCCTTGAAACACTAACCCAAATCCTCCTTTCCTGAGCTTATTATCGAAATTGCTTGTCATGGCTCTCAATTCTTCATAAGAGAATCTAGGATGCATTCCTGGTACTTGATCGATAAAGAACTCATCTGGTCCCTCGGATTCTCCTTTCTTTTTGAAAATGAAAATGCAAGCCGCAACCATAAAACATACACCAAAGAAAGCTCCGAGACCGGATCCCAATATGACTCTGATGTTTGTTGATTTCTTTGGAGGAGAATTTGTTGGTGAAGGAATTGGAGATTTTTGTAGTTTAAGAAATATAATGACTTTATCATCCCCTCCCTCCTTATTTATAAGAGAATAGACTTCAGATAGCAATAAACAACCTTTTTTTGAATAGTCCCAGTCATGTGCAAACAAAGCGGCTTTGCATGAACAATGTTTCAAGCAACTCTTTTTGCAATCCTCTAATTTTGATTTCTCATCAATGTAGTAATTGCTTCTATTTTTGTATTACATGTTAAAGTAAAAGTAACTAATATTCTTAAGCTCTGAAAGGATGTGATATTGAGAATGGTTGCAAGAAATGGGTGTAACAAGGGAACATCCAAGATTGGATTGCCTAGAATTTATTTGCATGGAAGTGTTGCTGGTGGCAGTTTCCTCAAGACTACTGCATTGTCTGTTTGGTGAACAAATGTCGTAATTGCCGCATGCCATGGGATATCCACAATCACCAATATCTAATGTCAGTACATCTGTCACAACATTCCAATTCAATCCACCCCACTCATAAGCCATCAAATGCCATCAGGTTCCAACCTGATGAACTGAGCTAACAATGAAATTGCAAGATAAATTTTTTGACCATTGAAGATTCCAGTTTTGAATCTGACATCATCCCCAATTAAATAGGATTGAAAATAGACCAAAGGTGGATTGGATTCTACATAACTCACCAGACTGTAATACTGAACAGTAAGAGAATACAAACCTTGAGTCCAGTTAGATACAAATGTGCTGGTGGTCAAATTCTAACCATTAACCAATGTTTACCCAACAAGTAAGGAGTCTGTTGGGTGATCAAATGATTGCCAAATCATTGCATTGTTTTGATAAAAGAGGACCAGGTTTCCATCTTTAGTCAAGTTTAAGCCTAAGACAGAGTACTTTC